GAGAATAGTGCAACAATGAATGAGTGGAAGCCCAAAATCTCTGTAAATGTTTATGAAAATTAATAAAATATAATAAAAAAAGAGATTGTTCTGGTTTTTAAACAACTCAGTCTTTTATTTATTTTTTAAATTAATTTAATTTTAATACTACAATCATTAAACTCTATTTCAGTTTCTTTTATACCATAACATCCTCATCTATCCACTTACACTATAGTTTAACTGAACTGAGCCAGCAGCATGCTAAAGAACTAAATGATTCATCGCTATACAAAATTACCAGGTCATCTGTAAGCATTATCAGAACCAGAAGCAGTACGGCTCAAGAAAGAAAAAAGTTTAAAAATGACCTTCTAATCACTCTATGTAGAACAATAAAATTATACTAAACAAAAAGATTGTCTTAGGTATTTCTATTATCTCATGTTCCCTGCTCCATGATTACAGCAAAGAGTAAATGCCAGCCAAGTCTTCTATCAGGCTGCTCTGCAACTCTTAGAGTCAATCAGTTTGCACTAGTGAGGCTGGGTCAAATATGTGCAAAGACTTCTGTCAAATTCTGACATAGTATATTCTGAACAATAAATTACCATATTAGCTCTCTAAATTCCATCCCAGTAAAATTAAAAGCTGGAATTCTTTAACAAACTATACTTTGCTTTGATTCCTGTATAACTGACTCATTTACAACTTAAAATGTTTTATCTAGAATTTATCATTGTATAGAGAAACTATTTACTGATTCCAATAGTCAAGACTCCTTTCTAACAACACATTTTTTTATTATTCTTAGTTTTCAAGATTACACCCAAATATACAGACAGCCATTTATTAAAAACCACACTGGAAGTTTTAGAGCTTCTAGGCAATTGCACAAATGCTAGTAAAAATATTAAATTCACTAGACTTTTAAAAACCCAAAGATCCACTTCAACGATTTAGACCCTCCCAGAAGAGCCATGGGTGAGCATTAACATTACTGGTAAGTATATTCATTTTCTCCTGGACACAAGAGTCTACTATTTGGTCCTAAAAGCCTTCTGAGGTCCCAACTCTTCTCACTATTTCTTAGCTGTTGGAATTGACAAAGAACCTCATAAGCAGTTCCTTACTTCACCTCTGCCTTGCATGTGGACTGCTGAGCTGTAAAACAACCCAGTGGTATATGGAATTTGGTCCAGGACTTAAGAACAATAAATGACATAGTTGAGCCTCTACATCCTCTGGTTCCTAACTTTTATACTATAATAGACAAAGTTCTAGTCAATAGGCCTTTTATTTTAAGAACTACCTTCCCTCTGTAACTTGATTTGTGCCACTGTTAGAACCTCTACTTGGAATATTATTGCTTTTAATTTTTGACTCATGTACTTTCAACTTGTTAAATTTGTGTCTTCTAGGCTGCAACACTTCCATGATGCATCTTCAAGGATATGAACATGTATGGCTAAGCACAACTAATAACAGTGCATCCAAATTCCAAAATCAATCTCCACAATAGTCTACATGTTTCCTACTGCCAAAAGGGCCCTTTAGAGTAATAAGAGAAGATCTTCACCCTGAAACCTACAGAGTCCCTTTTCAGCAGGAAGTAGCTAAGAGAATAAGCTGTCCCCTTTTCCTTATGAATCAGGGTGAAATCTCTCTCAGGGAGGAGTGATAGGGAATGGCAAAGGACATACTGACAAGATTAATCAGAAGTGGTTTTGACAAGCACTGTGGCAATGGGACAATTAAAGAAGACTTTCAGGGGGGAAGGAACAAACTGGGGGGGTAGAGAAAATAGTGCAACAATGAATGAATGGAAATCCAAAATCCCTGTAAATGTTTATTAAAATTAATAAAATTTAAAAGGAAAAAAAACCCAACAACCAAAAAACCCAAAGATCAGACCTAGAATATTATACATAAAGGAATCTAAGATTTAGAGGTCAATCTCAGGTTCTGTATGAAGGTCAGACATCAATGTTTTAAAATCAGGAAGAGAAGTTTGTAGGGAAGAAACCCACCTACAGAAAAACGTGTGATTTCAATTTCCCAAAATTCAAGTACAGAAGTGCACAGCTTGTGTTGAACTGTTAGAAGGCATACTGTCTAAAAGCAGAGTAGAGTGAATCACAAAACCTTTGAATGTCCTTTCCAGTACTTACAGGGCCTGTGTCTTTGAATTTGCATCACCTGATCTCCAGGCCTTGGGTATTAGGCATGTGGGGCAAGGAAAATTCAATTATAAGAAACGAGAGAAGGAGACTGTGAAATATAATCCAATGACAAAGAAGCCCTTGGCAAAGAAACACTGGTAACCAATATTAGTAAGATGCAGCAGAAACCTTACCCTCACTGCACAAAAACAGAATACATCATTTTAGCTATTTAGGAATGCTGAAGCATCTGGTGCATCTCTTTTCAAAAGGCAAAGTCCAAATTTATATATTAAAAAAATTCAAATCCTTCCATAAATTATTCATGTATCTTGCAAAATCCAGAATAATTGTAAATTTGTATATAGAAATGTTCTGCTCTAAGAAAAGTTTCTACAATACTGAGATCATAACCCACTATCGTTAACTCCTATTCATGGCTAACTTTCATCACGTTGCTGAGGATGTAAACCTTAATGGGAGCAGACTACCTCATCTTTCTCTTGCAAAGCAGTTGGTAGCTACAAACCACTGCCCTTCTGATTAGCAACTCAACACATAACCCACTATGACAGCAGGGTTCCTTACTGGTCTTTCTTGAGAGGTACTTATAAAAAGGAGCTCTGGCAGAATGCACACCCTATAAGGTGTTGCCTAAAAACCAAAGTTCTGGTCTTGGTGGTTCAAATCCACCAGCTGTTCCAAGGCAGAAAGAAGGGCAGTCTCCTCCATTAAACTTACAGCCTAGGATATCTGCTAAAGCATCCCTACTACGTCAAATTCACTGCTTTATAGATTTATATCCAACATCAAATAAACTAAAACTGGAAATCAAGTCTCAAAGAAAAGGCCTTGACTTACACATCAAAAAACTGGCAGCTATGTTTTAAATTAAAGTAAGATGTTTAAATAATTATGTATATTTTCTATTACTCACCTAATTCTTCATTTTGCTTTTAACAATCTTTTAAAAATAAATTTCCTACAAACCATGCAAGCCAACTGGTACCCTTAATTTGTAGATCACTGATTTAAATAACAAACTAGCATGTAGGAATCTAGTATTATAAATTCATTACACAAAATCAGTGATTGCAACAGGATCAGTTATACATTCAATATTGGCATTATAGCAATTGTGAAACACTAAGTGATTAATAATAAATTGTATTCAAATATGCCACACACTAATCAAATGATGAGAAAACAATAAAATTGCAAGCATTCACAGCTTATTAAAATGACCATGAGTGTGCCCACATATCTATCTACATAAAGCTGAAATACCACACACACAAAAGTTCCAATACTTTTTTGTAATAATTAACACTCGTTTGAATAACCAAAAATGCTTTTTAAGATAAAATTAACCCCTGAGAAGTGAAAATCCAGAAACTAGTAGCAATTTAGTTTTAATGTTCAGTATTTATAATAAAATATTAGCCATCTAGAATACATTTCAAAAGTTTATAGCCTTGAATACTTTTTAATACTTACTGCATGAGAAACTATCACTAGAAGCTTAACCATCTTTTTTCCTTGTGTAAAATACACTTGAATTTATCCACAATGGAAAGATCCTTACTATTCTCTGGATACTATTATCAAAAGTAAACTCCATTATGAATAATAAACTGGGCCAAATTAAAATTCTAACATTATAATATATCACCCCAAAATACCCAAATAATCATTATGCAATAACCTTACCTAGACTTGTAGGTTTTATCAGTTCATCCAGTAAATCATAAAATGGTAATTTTTGAAGTTTTATGTCCGGATGGACTGGGTGAAGAGCTGATGTAAGATGTGGGAGTTCCAGTTCATGTTTAGGTCCCAGAAGAGAAACAGGGAGTAACGGTGATGATGCAGGGTGACCATCATAAGTGAGTTGTGGAATGGTAGATGGAGACAAAGTTGCTGGCATAGGACTTGAATGTACGTTGGGGATGGACAAGTCCGCGGGCGTCATGATTTTCTGGGGAAAGCGCCGCCTATACAGTTCTTTAATTTTCATTTGTACAGCAGGACTGCAGCCAGCCTTTAGTAAGTGCAGGGCTTTTGTGAGAAGTTCGTGTTTGCGTCCGTGCTTGTTTCTCCCAGCGTAGCCCAACAGTACTTGGAGTTCAGAAACTCTAAGGCTCATAACCATTTGCTTAGAGACAAAACAAAATATAAAACATTAGTATTCCAATAATATAATTTATAATAAACAATATTTCATTATAACCCCTTTGTTTACAGCTCACTTGAAAGTCACTACCTATCTCAAACTTAAAATGTGAGCAGTTAACAAAAATAGCCAAAAGAAAGAGAAAACTAATATTCATAAATGTATTTCTTTTTACCCAGGGTAGGAAAAGGTCTTTTTTAAAAAAGTACACACCATAAGAGTATTACATCTCACTTTACTGTATCTTTTCCCTTAAATTGCCAAATACTTATCAAGTACATACTGAGTTTCCAGGGAAGTGCTAAGTGTTTGGTGAACTGGCAAAAAATAGAAGTATGATTTCAAAAGCATTTTACTTCTTGGGGGAAAATTACAAGTACACATGAAAAACACAAACCACTTACCTCAATCATATAAACAATAAGTCTACTATACCAATTCTAAATTGGTAGAATTAACTTTTTTAAACTGTTTTCCTCCCTCTCCACTTTATTTTTATTTTATATTGGTTTGTATACTACGTATTATTCATGTACATTCACTTTTTGACCAATTGTATATTAGACACTATACCACATAACTTCATACATGTTTTTTCATCTATTCAATCTCTGTGGTATATATTACAAAATTATCTTCAAAGATTAAATAAGCTCATACAGTCACGATAAGTCTGATTTAAAGCCTATGGCCTTTTCAATAAACTCATTAAGAAAGAGACAAAACTGGAAACACTTGCAAGGCCAGACTTAAAAAAAAAATCCCAAGAATTTGATCCATATCTACAAATGAGTACAACTATAATAAAGAAGCCTATTTAATCTTGTTTAATTCTACACCTTCAAACTTACTTGGTCATTGTTCCTCCTTTTCCTACACATACCATAAGGCTTAAGTCGGAATTGACTCATAGCTGACCGTCCAGCAGGTTTTCAGAGACGGTAAATCGCATAGCAGGAGACAAGCTCAGCGTTTTCCTGTAGAGCAGCTGTTGGATACGAACAGCATGCCTTTGGGTTGGCAGTACAACTCCTTACCACTAAGCCACTAGAGATCCCTTTCCAAAATGCTACTAGTGAAAAATGCCTATCTACAGTACCAATCTTACCATTTTAAAGTGTTTTTGGGGTTTTTTTTTTCTTTAAAAAAATGTCAAAAGAGAAAAATATAGCTTACAGAAAAGACTTCACCACAGAAATACACACTAATTTTAGTTTTTTTTCCCCTTTTTGCAATTGTTTTATTCCCATCTAGCACCAATAATACACAAAAGTATTGCTGTCTATAGTAACTCCACTACTCATCCCCCTATGAGCTTCACCCCACCCCCCTCAAGCCAGTCCTCCAGAAGGATTTACAGGTAGCAAAGCAATTAACATAAAATGGTGAGGGGAAAATGTATAAAAGCTCTATATGCAATTAAAAGCAGGTTAATCAAACTCATGAGGTCATCATGAATCAGAATCTATTCAACACCAGTGGTTAGTCAAATGTGAGTCTTTCTCATACTTCTTTTATCTGGGAAACTGCTTCCCGAGATCCAGCTTTTTTTTTTTTTTTCAGTTTTTGCCCATTAAATCTGGTAAAAAGAATGACTTTCTTCTGACTACTCTTACTCGCCTTTTTTTGTATATTTTGGTACTTATCATGCTGTACTTTTTGAAAGCAAGGCTGTGTCATCTGCGTAATGTGGATTGTGTATGAGCCTCCGATCCTGATACATTTTTCTTCACAGAATCCATATAGAGCTTCATATTACACAAAGAAAACAGTACAAATTACATACTAGAAAAATGTTTTTCCATTTCTATTTCATTATCAAACACAGTTAATTACTAAAACCTCCCTTGTAAAAGCTTTTGTCCTTAATCTATAGAGACAGGATTCCAATGCAGCAAAATGTATTACAGTTTTATTTTTGTTTAGAAACAAATTGACAATTCACATAAAGTATCTGCTCAATAGTCAAAATAAAGTTAATGACATAACTACAAACCTGACAGTTCTCAATTATGTCTGTGACAATATCTGAAAGGTACAAGCAACAACAAAAGCAACACTTAGTACACAGTAGATAAACAGTGTAAACAATACCTTGTAAAAGAAAGCCAGGGCTGGGTTGGCTTTTTTAAAACAGGAGATAACATTAATCACCACAATTTATAAATAAGGCAAGTACTGTCCTCATTTTACAGATGGCAAAAAGGATGTTCCAATCTAACTCTCAAGCTTATATATCATACTGTACGTCTTTTAGAGCAGTAAGTCACAAGCTTTTTGTTATGGAAAAATAAAAACCTTGCTGTGTACAATTGAACTACAACCAACTCAGGGTTGAAAAATCACAAGGAAAGAGATTGCACATCTTTCTCCTGGAGCTGCTGGTGAATTTGAACTGCATGCCTTTAGGCTGGCAGCACAACTCCTTACCACTAGGGTCAGAGCTCCCTAAAAACTCATTAGAAAGTTCATTTATTCATTAATCAACCAAGAAAATGCTATGCATTTTCAAGCATTTGTCATTTCATTCCAAATGAGCAGCTTCAATCCAAAAATGGCTAGAGCAGTGCACTGACAGAGAACTGCCAGAAGGTCAGCCTAGGTTTAGAAAAGGCCGTAGCACCAAGGCTGCCTATCAATGCTGATACCAAATGGATCTTGGCTGAAAGCAAAGAATGCCAGAAAATTTCCATCTTTGTTTTAATAATATGAAAGGCACGTGACTGTGTGGATCATAACAAAACACGGTTAACACTGAGAAAAGTGAGAATCCCAGTACATCTAATCATGCGTGTACAAAAATTATACCTAGACCAAGATGCTGTTGCCTCAACAGATTAAGGGAACACTATATGGTTTAAAATCAAGAAAGGTGTGTCAAGGCTATATTCATTCTCCACACCTATTCAATACGTATGTTGAGCAAATTTATCAAGAAGCTAGACTCTGGGTGGAAAAAAAGTGGTATCAGGATAGGAGACTCATTAACAACCTGGATTATGTAGACACCATCTTGCCTGCTCAGAGTGAGGAGGATTTTAAACATCTGGTGTAGAAGATCAAAGAATACAGCCTTCAATATGGATTATATCTCAGTATCAAGAAGACAAAAATCCTAAAGATAGGAAACATCATATTAGATGAAGAAAATTATCAATCATTTCATCTTGCTTAGATGTACAATCAACCGTTGGCACCAGCAAGTAAAGAAATCAAAAGACATACTGCACCAGGAAAGTCTCCTCTCAAGGATCTCTCCAAAGAAACAAAGAGCAAAAAATGTCAATTTGAAGACTAAGATGCACTTGATTTAAGCCATGGTCTTTTCAATCACTTGTAGCTTGGTTTCACTCTCTCCAAGACAGATCTGTTAGTTCTCTTGGCAGTCCACAGTATGTTCAATACTCTTCTCCAGCACCACAATTCATGGCATCAATTCTGTCACCTTTGGTCATTTTCTAGCTCTCTGATACTTACTTAGCAAGTAATTGGGAAAAACATGACCTAAATCAAACATACTTTAGTCTCTAGACTGACATTGTTGTTTTTTTAGCAATCAGGAGAGGTCCCTGACTGCAGATTTCCTTAATGCACTATGTGATTTCCTGACTTTCGGTGCCAAGAGTGTTGATTGTGGAGCTGAGCAAACTGAAATTGTTAACCTCAATCTCTTCCCTATTCATCATGGTGCTGCCAATTAGCCCAGTGGTGAGAATCTTTGTCTTCTAGAAGATGAGCTTCAATCCATATTAAACACTAGTCTTTGACATACAGACAGTAAGCATTTTTTAAAAAATATTATTAAATAGAAAGTACTAATTTTGTCATCTCATTATCTCACTGTCAGACTCACTCACTCAATTATGTGGAGTTCGAACCAACTCAAAGCTGATCTTCCAAGTGGATTTCCAGGATGCTTTATTTCACACGTGAGGAAACTGTTCATTTTTCTCCTGAGGAACTGGTGGTGTATTCGAACCATCCCTTAGGTTAGTAACTCCCTCCATACTCAAGAGCTCCCTACATTGTTAAAGGCCATGTCTAAATTACCAGTAAGAATGAAAATTTCCTGATGAACCATGTAATTATTCACATTTGTATACCCAAGACAGTAGTTTATAGGCTTAGTAATAAAATACTCTATACTGAGTCTTTACCTTTTTATAATTTTTAACCAACTGTAAACCACAATGAATTAGAGACAAAATAGGCAATAATATAAAAATATTTCACTTTAAAAAAATTATTTATTCATTTTAATGAAAGTTTACAGAGACTTGGGATTTCCAGTCATTCATTTTTGTACTTTTCTCCCCCCCACCCCCTCCCGCCCAAATCACTCCTCTCCTTGAAAAGAAGAAAAACTTTCATTTTTATATAATCCTTGACCCCAAGTTCACGCCACTATGTAGCCTTCACTCTGAACTTCAGTAATGCCAAGAATACCTATTCATAGATCCCTTTTAAACAGATTTCTCCCTCATCTGTTTCAACGCAATATACATCATTCCTCCTGTCCTTTTCTGTCTTCCCTCAACCCTGATGTCAGCCCCGTTTTACAACAGTGGCCTTATGTAATATTTGTCCTTTTGTGACTGAGATATTTCTTCACTCAGCGTAATGTCCCCCAGGGTCATTCACTTTGCATAATATTTCATGAGTTCCTTGTTTTTCAATGCTGCACAGTATTCCACTGTGTGGATATACCAGAGCTTCTCTATCTATGTTTATTGACGGGTACAAAAATATTTCACCTTTATGTTCGCTTTCGACCCACAAACGACACTTCAGGCATGTTATCAGGAAGAGCTAGTTTTGGGAAGGTAGAGGAAGATCCTCAATGAAGACACACTGATACAGAGATTGCAACAACGGGTTTATTCAGAGCAGAGATTGGTGGGGATGGCACAGGATTGGGCAGGGTTTCTTTCTGTTTGACCCAGGATTGTTATGAATATAAGCCAATTCAATGGTACCTAACA